GTGAGGGGGGAGTGGGAGAGTGAGGGAGAGGGAAAGTGGGAGAAAGAGAGGCAGAGAGAGAGTCACCAACAGATTTATAAAAGGATTTGGACAGTAACCCCGTTGCCCATCCACCACCACTCCCTCACTGCCACACCCCCTCCCTCACAACCCTTAACCTCTCCCTCACTCCCACACCCCGTCCCTCCTCATTCCCTTCCCCTTCCATTAACCCCTCCCTCATTGTCGCTCCCACACTCTATTAATCTTGTTGCCTCAGTTCCACTAAAGTAGTTGACACCTTACGGTGACTCTGAGCGAGTCCCTGACCCTGGGAATAGGAAGGTCCTTACACTGTTTGTCCACATGAAGCCAGCGTAGGCTACTGCTTCCTTCTTGTTGAGGCGATACGTGTCCTCCAGCCGGTCACTATAGCGACGAGACTCGCCGTCCTCATTGGCAAAGCTCCGCACAGTCTTCATCGAGGTAAAAGTTTCCATCGCCACATCGTTTGCCTTAGCCAGGGATTCCTGAACCTCGACTGCCAGTTTCTAGCACACACCCGGAGAGAGGGGGAGTGAGTGGGCGAAGGAGAGAGGGGGAGACGGGGGACGGAGGAGGGGAGGGAGAGGGGAAGAGGGAGAATTAGTGAGTGTTCGGGAGAAGAAGAGAGGGAGAGGACGAGAGTTTGAGAGTGTTAGAGAGAGAGGGGGAGAGAGAGAAGGGGAGGAAGAGACAGAGAAACAGACACAGAGAGTGTTAGGGAGAGAGAGAGAAAGAGTTAGTGAGTTTTAAAGAGAGGGGGAGGAAGGGAGAGAGAAAGTTAGTGAATGTTAGAGAGAGGGAGGGGGAGGAAAAAACAGAGTTAATGAGCATTAGAGAGAGACCAGTGATCAGGAACCAGGTTCAATGGGGAAGTTTTCCTGCTGCATCCATTTGAATCACATGAAGCCTCTCCTCACACTGTCATAGCAAAACCCATCAAACAGCCTGAGCCAGGCTGAAGCTGATTCGAGCGAGTTGTGCCTTGAAGGAGCACAGTCACTTGAGAGGAAACCCAAAATTACATCAAACATTGTACGGAGTGGTAACACACACCAAAATCAGCAGGACCCAGTCATCACAGCACAACTCCGATATTAGACACTGAGGGAATTTATAGAGTAGTTAATGGGGAATAAGTCTGATATTAGACACTGATTGGGTATCTAGTATGGTTAATGGAACTGAGTCTGATATTTACTTTTTCCTCTTTTTGTAGTCAAGCTAAAAAAATGTATGAATGTAGAGAGACAAAACATCAAATGAAGCACTATTGTAAAGATCTTATTGCGATATAAAAATGTGCAACTAACATTTTCAAAGCACTTTTATCCCATAACATGTCTCAATGCTGTCACTTAATAGAGGGATAGTCAAAGACTTTATTGTGAAGGTTGTTGCTACCCAGCAACATGTTACAAAGCATTGTGTTACGGGAAAGAAGGGAAAATACTCACAACTCGATGTATGGACTGAGTCTGACACTTCGACACTGTTACATGTTGCAGTTGGGAGGAATTTGGGAGGCTGAATGATAAGTTAATATATGGAACAAAGAAAAAGCAGAAACTTCTGGAGAAACTCAACAAGTCTGGCAGCATCTGTGAGAGCAAAACAGAGTCAGTGTATCAGGTCCAGTGGCCCTTTTTCAGATAATAATTGGGCCAGATTAAATGGATCTCAAGTTGTTCTGTGAGGCAAGGGAGGAAATATTTCAATTCCTCTCTGGCCACAGAAAAGGAAAGCCAATGTGCTGCCATCATTCAAGAAAGGGCCAAGGGATAAATGATAAACAACGGCCAGTCAGTCTAACTTCAGTGAAAGGAAAAGTATTGCAAACAGAACAGGGTCAGAATTAATCCGCATTTGGAGATGCAGGGATTAATCAAGAACAGTCAATATGATTTTGTTAAGGGGAGGTCATGTCTGTTTGAATTCTTCAAGGAGGTGACCAGGTATATAGATAAGGGCAATACATTTCACATAGTCTACTTGGACATCAGCAAGGTTTTTGATACAGTCCCACATCGGAGATTAACAGCAAAGGTAAGAGCACATGGGATCCACAATGGGCTGAATGGCAGAAAGCAGAGGGTGATGGTTGAGGGGTACTTTTCACACTGGAACAGTGTGTCCAGTGGGATCCCATAGGGATCAGTATAGGGGTCCTTACTGTTTGCGGTTTATATCGATGACCTAGGTTTGAATGTTGGAGCGTTGTCTAGTATGTCTGTGGATGATACTAAAATCAGTGGGTAGGAAATAGGAGGATACCCTTAGATTAGTGGATGATATAGACAGGTTGGCCAAATGCACTGGTCATTAACAAATAGAGTTCAATCTGGATATGGGCACTTGGATAGGACAAACAAGGCAAGGGAAAACATGCTGAACAATAGGACCCTGGGAAGCACTGAGAATCAGATGGATCTTTGTGTGCATGGACTCCGGTCCCTTAAAGTATCAGGACACCTGGATAAAGTGGTTAACAAGGCATATGGTATACTTGTCTTTATTAACTGAGGCATAGAGTTTAAGAGCAGGGAGCTGACATTAGAACTGTATAAAACATTGGTGCAGTCACAGTGAGAGTATTGTGTGCAGTACTGGAATCTACATTCTAGGAGGGATGTGATAGCAGTGGAGAGGGTGCAGAAGAGATTTCCCAGGATACTCCCTGGGTTGGAGAGTTTTAGTTATGAAGAAAGATTAGAAAGACTGGAGTTGTTTTCTTTAGAGCAGCGGAGGTTGAGCAGGGACATGATTGAGATGTATACACTCATAAGGAGCATAGATAGGGAACATAGGAAGAAATCTTTCCCCTTGATGGAGGGATCAATGAACAGAGGGCATAGAGTTAAAGTAAGGGCCAGAAGGATTAGTCGAAATCTGAGGAAAGCCCTTTCCACCCAGATGGTGGTGGGAATCCGGAATTCACTGCCTTTTAGGGTGGTGCAGGCAGAAACTTTCAGAGCATTGAAGGAGAATTTAGATGTGCATTTGCGATGCCTAAGCTTACAAGGCTATGAGCCAAGTGCTGGAAAATGGGTTTAGAATAGTTCGGTGGTTGTTTTTGACTGGTGCAGACTTGGTGACCTGAACAGCTTTTTCCTGTGCTGGAGGCCTGGCTGACTGTAATGATAAGGCAGTAAACGTACCTGGTAGTATCTGCCAGTGTACGTAGGGATGATACCGATGAAGAACATGCCGATGATGCTGAACAAGGTCAGTTTAAAGGACAGCTTGACCATAAAGACCAGGAGAAAGACAGCCCGCATCAGATACCACATCAACAGGCTCAACTTCTCTGTCAGCGACTCACTCATCGTGTTTGTATCCGTGGTGATCCGGGATGTGATGTCACCTGGGCAACAGACAGGGAGACAGCATCAAAACCTGCCTCCTCTCGGGAGTACAGTATCCCTCAGAGCTACCACCTCTCTGTCAAACACTGCCTGTGGTGTCCCTGAGCTCATCATCTCTGAAATTAATCATCACTGTAATGCTTCATATTGCATTCACAAATTACCAGGATATGGCACATTCATCTCCATGGATACTTCTGTACTGAATGTTACTGCAGGTCAGAGTCTCTTGCAGTCACTGTCTCTCTCTTATCATTGGTCATCTCTCTCTCTCTCCGTCTGTCTCTGGTCATAGTCTGTCTCTCTCTAATCACTGCCTTTTTTTCTCTCTCTTTTTGATTTGATTTGATTTGATTTGTTATTCTCACATGTACCTAGGTACAGTGAAAAGTTTTGTTTTGCGTTCAGTACAGGCAGACCATCCCATACAAAGATCATAGGGTAATTGGACAGAGTGAGCAATACAAAGTTACGGCTACAGAGAAGGTACACACAAGAGTGAGATCAACATCTGATTTGAAATTTGAGAGGTCCATTCAGAAGTCTAATTAGAGCAGGGAAGAAGCTGTTCCTGAACCTGTTGGTATGTGTGTTTAAGCTTTTGTATCTTCTGCCCGAAGGAAGAGGTTGGATTGGGAGGGTCTTTGATGACAGGGGTCTCTCTCTGATCCTACATATCTCTCTCCTCTCTCTTCCTTTCTGACCACTTGTCTGTTCATCTGTCGCTTTCCTTCTGTGTCTCTCTGACTATCTGTTTGTCTCTCTCTCCTTCCCACCCCCCCGTCCCCGCACCCCGCCCGCGCCCCCCCGCCCCCCCATTAGCCACATTCTGTGGGTCTTGCTGTCTCTCTCTCTTTCTCTGTGTCTCTGATCACTACCTGTCTCTCTCTCTCTCCTACTCGTCCCATTCTGTGTGTCTTGCTGTCTGTCCATCTCTCTCTCTCCTTAACTCTGCCACTAACTGTCCATTTCTGTCAGCCTCTCAGTCTCCCCTATCTCTCTCTCTCTGTGCCTGGAGCTCTCCCCTTACCTGTATGCACAGTGTCAAAGAAAGCAATTTCCTGCCGCACCACTGATCGAAACACGGAGCTCTGAATACGTGTGTGGATGCCTGTCATTGTAACATTGTAGACACAGTCACAGAAAAACTCTGTCAGAGCACTGTGGGAGAGACAGGGAAATAGGAATCACTGCGGTTAGACTGCACTGAGAACAGGTATTCTGGGAGATACAGGCATTGCACTGCTTGAGAAACGGGAATCACTGAAGATACAGCACTCTGAGTGGGAATAAGTGAAGGGGAGAGTCTATTTTGACTCCCTCCGGGCCCCACACTGGTCTGCTAGCATTGAGTGCACGTTGAATACGATTACCTTGCACTGGTGATCAAGGACATTGCAATGATGGAGTTGGTGAACGCTGAAGGGTCGTCTTCATTCATCACCCAGTCGGTCATCCGGCCAGTGTAATAGGGTATCGCCATCTCCCCTGGGAATACAGGAAGCCATGTGTGACCAGTAATCAGTGGGACAGTTCACAATCCCTTCACTAGCCTGAGAGACCAACCGTCCCCCAGTGAACCCACTCCTAACCAGAGACCAGGGACCCAAACTCAAATATTGAACGTTTTATGGTGGCAATTCAGAACATGCAGAATTGGAACCATTCAACAAGATCATGGACGAATCTGATAGCAGCCTCTGCCACGTGTGTAAGAGAATTCACATTAAGAGCTGTGCGTATACAATGTTGTGACTTTGCCTGAAAGTCAGTCTTTAAGCTGTACATACACACGACCACAGTAAGCTGCTGGTTTGATGCAACGGCTGCTGTGTAACTTGTTATGTGTTTTACTGTTTTAAGTGCAGTAGCGCACACTGTAATTGAGAAGGTGACTGATCACTAGACCATTATCATTCCAACATGTCAGCCTCCAATTCACGTGCCAGCCTAAACACGATGACCAAGGAGTCCCTTCTTATTCCAACAGATAGCTTCAGGGAGGGAATTCCAGAGCTTGGGACCTTGGCAGCTGAAGGCATGGCCCCCAATGATGGATCAATTAACATCAGAGACACTCAAGAGGCCAGAACTGGAGGAGCACAGTGATCTCCGAGCTGGGGGAAATGGAGTCAGACTTCAGTGATAACAGAGATCATGTGATAGTGGGATTGGGAAACAGGGAAGAGAAATTTAAAATCAAGGTATTAAAATTGAAAGCATAAATCCATGGGTACAGGGAGATGAGACCCAGTGTGGGCTAAGACATGGGCAGCAGAGTTTTGGACATTCAGAGAGGGTAAAACGTGGGAGACTGGCTGGGAATGTGTCGGAATTGTCAAGTCTGAAGGGAATGATAGCTGGTTTGAGGGTCTCAACAGCCAATGAGTTTCAGCAGTGGCAACATTTGTGAATCTAGATCTGGGTGTCCTTGTACACCAGTCACTGAAAGTGAGCATATAGGTGGAGCAGGCGGTGAAGAACACAAATGGTACATTGGCTTTACAGCGAGAGGTTTCGAGTACACGGATGTCTTACGGCAATTATAGAGTCTTGATGAGACCGCACCTTGATCATTGTGTGCAGTTTCAGTCTCCTTATCTGAGGAAGGACATTTTGGCAATGGAGGGAGTACAACAAAGGTTTACCAGACTGATTCCTGGGATGGCAGGACTGACATATGAAGAGAGATTGGATCGGTTAGGACTATATTCATTGGAGTTTGGAAGAATGAGATGGGGAACCTCATTAAAAATCTAACAGGATCACATAGTAAATGCAGGAAAGATGTTCCTGATGACCAGGGAGTCCAGAACCAGGGGTGACAGTCTAAGGATACAGGGTGGGCCATTTAGGATCGAGATGAGGAGAAATGTCTTCACCCAGACAGGGGTGATGCTGTGGAATTCTCTGCTATAGAAATTGGTTGAGGCCAAGAAGGAAATTAGATACAGATCTTAGGACTAAAGGGAGCAAAGGGTATGTAGGAGAAAGTGGGAACAGGGGACCGAGTTTGATGATCAGTCATGATCATACTGAATGGAGGATCATGCTGAAGGGCCAAATAGCCTACTCCTGCTCCTATTTTCTATGTTTCTATGCAAATAGTTTGGGTATCAACATGGAAATTTGCAGTCATAATAACAGCATGGAGATATGATTGGAAGGTCATCTCAGGGTCAAATGTTATTTTGTTATTGTTATCCTCTCATGGGCTGGGGCAGTATTTATTTCCCATCCCTAATTGCCCTTGAGAAGGTGGTGGTGAGCTGCCTTCTTGAACCGCTGCAGCCCTCCTGCCGTAGGTAGACCCACAATGCCCTTAAGGAGGGAATTCCAGGGTTTTGACCCAGTGACACTGAATTAATGACGATATATTTCCAAGTCAGGATGGTGAATGTCTTGGAGTGGAACGTCTTGGTGATGTTCCCATTCAGCTGCTGCCCTTGTTCTTCTGAATGGAAGTGTTCATTGGTTTGGAAAGTGCTTTCTGAGAATCTTTGATGAATTTATTTTGAGCACGTGAACTGTCTGATCTAACCTCAGATAGTCACCTGGGAGAGGGATGGGAGTCGATGGTGGTGCCATCTTTGAATGTTTAGCAAACTGGCAGACCTGTCCTTCTGACCCATTGAGTGACCTGCCCACCCCCGACCCTCACCCCATCCTTGTAGCACTAACTCCCATTCCTCTCCTCCATCGCACCCCTTGACTCATTCTTCACCCTGCCCTGCCAATGATACCTGACCTCCTAACTCCATTCTCCATTCACCCTTCACCAGCTCTGTTCGTCTCTGGACTCCTGATTCCTAGTTAATTGCCCAAGGACAATCACTGTACCACTGCACCACCCCCCACCCCCACATTCCTACTGCCCACCCCACTCTCCTGATAATGCTCGGTCAGCAATGCCAGTGTCCACCTTACCCAGTGAAGACAGGACCAGGAACAGCGCCACCAGGAGGAAGCGGCCGATATCGGGCCTCATATAGGTCAGCAGTTGGGACACGGTGGCCTTGGTTCCTGCCTCGCCTGCGGACTGCCCTTTGGAGCCTGGAGGCAAGAAGTGCCAGCGTAGGAGGAAGACCAGGCCTGTGCTGGCGTAGTTGAGGGCCAGGGCACTCCAGTTGTGCAGCCCATAAAGCATCTCTGTGGAGGGGAGGCCGGTGGCCATCGCCAGGCTGACGTAGGCTGGTGCGAGCAGGCCGGACATGACCAGCATCCAGGACAGATCCGTGGGCTGCAGCCAGGCCGGCAGCTCGGACCGGGAAAGTGAGCAGGCCTGCAGTGAGGCAGCCAGCAGGCCCACACGCAGCAGTGAGAGTAGCCAGAGAGCGAGCACTGGCTCAGCCAGGCCCCAGCGGTACATGGCCAGGCTCAGTGTCCATGTGGCAATAACATCCAGCAGTGGAACGGAGATCAGAGGAACAGTAACTGTCATCTTCGTTCAGCGGAGTTAGCCCAGAGAATCTGCAAAAGCAGGAAAGAAACCTCCTTTAAATACCATTACTGAGAGATTATAAACTAGGTTAAATACTATTACTGACATCTTAAACAGGGTTAAATACCATTACTAAAGTATTTAACCTGAGAGATGAACCAGGTAAAATATTGTCACCAAGTGATTAAACTGGTTAAATACTGTTACTGAGAGATTAAACCAGGTTAAATACGTTACCAAAAGATTAAACCAGGTTACATTCTGTTACTGAGAGGTTAAACTGGTTAAATGCATTACTGAACGTAAGAACTAGGAACAGGAGTAGGCCATTCAGCCCCTCAAGCCTGCTCCGCGTTTCATACAGACATGGCTGATCTCATCTCAGCCTCAACTCCACTTCCCTGCCCTTTTTTTTGTACTTGTTCTCAAGATGAAGGCATTTCTGGCCAGGCCAGCATTTATTACACACGCCTAATTGCCCAGAAGGTAATTACCAGTTAACCATATTGCTGTGGGTTTTGAGTCGCATGTAGGCCAGACCAGGAATGGATAATGGTTTCCTTCCCTAGACGACATTATTGAACAGGATGGGTTTTTCCTGACCACAGCAATAGATTATTTAGACTTTTAATTCAAATTCCACCATATGCCATTGCAGGATTTGAACCCGGGTCCCCAAAACATTACCTAGTATCTCTGGATTAACAGTCTAGCAATAACACCACAAGGCCATCACCTCCACTTTCTATCATCCTTCAACCCATTATTCCTTAAAAACCCCTCTATCTCCTCCTTAAATTTACTCAATGTGCCAGTATCCACTGCACTCTGGGGGAGTGATTTCTACAGATTCACGACCCTTTGAGAGGAGTCATTTCTCCTCACCCCTGTTTTAAATGCACCATTCATTATTCTAAAACAATGACCTCTCATTCTACATTGCCCCAAGAGGAAACATCCTCTCCATGTCTACTTTGTCAAATGTCATTTAGCATCTTATATACCTCAATGAGATTTCCTCTCATTCTTCTAAACTCCAGAGAATGTAGGCCTGAACTGCTCAATCTTTCTTCAAAGACAAACCCGTCATCTCTGGAATCAATCTAGTGAACTTCCTCTGGTGAAAGTACATCCCTCCTCAATTAAGCGAACTAAAACTGTACACAACACTGGAGTTTCTGTCTCACTAATGCCTTGTGCGGTTAAGCAGCAATTCTCTACTTTTATACTCTGTTTTAGCAATAAATGCCAAAATTCGATTTACCTTTCTTACTGCCTGCTGTATCTGCATACTAGTTTTCTGTGATTCGTGCACCAGCTCCCTCTGAACTGAAGCACCCTGAAGTTTCTCTCCATTTAGATAATAAATTGCCTTTTTATTCCTCTGGCCAAAACTGATAACCTCACACAAATCTAAATTAAATTCCATCTGCCAGATTTTGGCCCATTCACCAACGTATCCATAGCCGGTTGAGTGAGGAGTGGATCAGGTAAATATAACAGCACAGAGTTTAACCTGGGATCAACACAGCACCACTGAGTTTTTGCTGGGCTAAAAATCTACTCTGGGCTACAAATCTACAACAATTGCTGCACCAACAATTCCTGTTCAAGAAGTGAGTCACAGCCAGTGCCTGCTGAATTGAACCATCTGTTTGTCTTGGAGCTTTGCCCTCTACAATAATGATTCCATTCCAGGTGGATACCGGAAACCTAGGACCTACAAATAAAGCATCGCTTTTTGATCATTTTTATAAGCAGATTATCGATGATATAAACATTGTACCAGGATATTTCATAAAACAGTACACCACCACCCTGGCAGTACATTCTAGATTCCTACCTCTCTCAGAGTAAACAAAAAACTGTCCCACACATCTCCTTTGAACTTTCCCCCTCTCACCTTAAATGCATGCCCCCTAGTATTAGACATTTCTACTCTGGGAAAAAGATTTTGACTGTCAACTCTATCTATGCATCTCATAATTTTATAAACTTCTGTCAGGTCTCCCCTCAGTCTCCACCGCTCCAGAGAAAACAATTACAGTCTGTCCAACCTCTCCTGTAGCTTATACCCTCTAATGCAGGCAGCATCCCAGTAAAACTCTTCTGCAACTTCTCTAAGGCCTCCACATCCTTTCTGTAGTGTAGTGACCAGAACTGAATCCAATACCCTCAAGTGTGGCCTAACCAAAGTATTATGAAGCTGCATCATATCATCCTGAATCTTGTACTCAATTCCCCGACCAATAAAGGCAAGCATGCCATACGCCTTCTTTACCACCCTAACTACTTGTGTGACCGCTTTCAGGGAGCTATAGACTAGAACCCTGAGATCTCTCTGGACATCAATGCTGTTAAGGGTCCTGCCATTAAATGTATACTTTTCCTTAACATTTGATCTCCCAAAGAGCAGCACCTCACACTTACCCGGATTAAACTCCATCTGCCATTTCTCTGCTCATATCTACAACTGATCTATATCCCGCTGTATCTGTTGACAACCTTCTACACTAATGTATTAGTAAAGAGGTATATGCATCCTATGTGTACAGGGTACATAAACTTTAATTCTTTCATGGGATGTGGGTGTCATAATCAAGGCCAGTATTTATTGCCCATCCCTGATTGAACTAAGCAGCTTGCTAAGCCTTAATGCTCAAGCCCATTACTGTGGGTCTGGAATCGCATGTAGGCCAGACCAGGTAAGGACAACAGATTCTGTTCCCAGAAAGGAATTGGTGAGCTGGATGGGTTTTTACTATGATCAAAACTGTGGTCACTGTCACTGAGATTAACTTTCAATTCCAAATGGATTTGTCAGGTTTCAATTCCACCATCTCTGGTGATTTCAATTCTAGCCCTCTATACTACTGGTCCAGTGACAGTATTGTTACGTCGCATGTATATGCAGTCCTGGTTTATGTATATGATCTCTGGATGTGTACGTGGTTTAAAGTACATACATGATTGCTGGATGTATACCAGGCTGCCAGAGCAAATGTATTATCTCTGAATATGTACATGGATCCAGGGCAAATATATTATCTATGGATACAGACATCGATGCAGGGAAAAGCATATTATGCCTGGATGTGTACATGGTCCCAGGTAGTGTATAGTACCCTCGATGTGTATTCCTGGGTTGTGTATTTGGCCCTGGATGTATACATAGTTCCAGCTTGTGTATATCAGGTCCTGGGTCGTGTACACTATCCCCGGCTGCGTACGTGGACCTGGGTCGTGTACACTATCCCCCGGCTGTGTACATGGACCTCGGTTGCGTACATTAGCCCTGGATGTGTATAGTCTCAGGAAAGCAATGTTTAAAAAAAGTGAGTAGGATTAAAGGGGACCCGTGTGAGGGAGGAAAAAGCAGACAGAGCTGGGGATTAGGTGATGCGAATTCGGGATTGGACACAGTGCTGGCTCCCAGCATTCAGCACCACAGAATGGCTGAACTGTTACGGCGCAGAAGGAGGCCATTCGGTCCATCGTGTTAGCACCGGCTCTCCGAGGAAGCGTTGTGATTCAGTCCCATTCTCCTGCACGTTGTTTCCAACAACCTTCCGACACCGCCCCCCACCCCCCCGAATGTCTCACTTGGACCTGGCTCCCCACTTCTTTGCGCCGCACACCCCAACCACGGGCTGTGAGAGAAATATTCCTATTCTCGTTTGTCAACTTTTGTATCTCACACTGAACCTGCGTCCTGTAAAAAAAAAATCGCCTGTATCAATGACCGGGAGTCCCATCAAGGCATTTAAAAGTGTGCGTTTTCAGCTGAGTACAGCGATGGTGGCAGAATTCAAAACAAATCTGTTGAAAGGTCCAGGCACCAAACTGAAAACAGCAAAGGGTGAGATAACATAATCAGAAAAGGCAGGATCAATATGACGGTGCCATATTACAATGCGGGGCAGCGGGGGCTTTGCAAATATTTTGGAAAAATCTAGATGCTCCTGAAACCCCAAGACCCTTCATCTCTCTCTCACACACACACAGCAGCAATCCTGCAGTGTACACAGAGTCACTGCAGTTTCCGGGAAATAGACACTGACCTGTTTCTGCTGGAGCACAGCGGCCGGCGCTCTCTCTCTCTAACACACAGACACGGTGCTCAGGAGCTGGAGTTCTCTTCGGGAAAATAGCAAAAGGCTGGAGATAACCGGCCTTGTCCAGCCTCTCGGTAAACCTTTCAGCCGGGAATTTCCCCACGCCCCGCCTCGCCTCCTCACCGGGTCCAGAACCGCCTCTGTCAACACGGAGACTGAAAGTGAAACTTAACTGAAGCTGTGTCCTTATTCACCACAATGTGCAATATATGAAGTGGCAGATATACACGGTTTCTCTCTCTCTCTCTCTCTCACTCACACACACACGGGTCAATCGTTAGAATCGTACACTACAGAAGAGGCCATTCGGCCCTCCGAGCCTTTACCGCCAATAAATATTACACCAGCTCCATCTTCCCACACTAGGCTCGTAGCCTTGAATGTTATGACACTTAAAAGTGTTCATTCAAATACTTTTTCTAAAGGTTGTGAGGTTTCCCGCCTCAACTACCCTCCTATATAGAACGTTCCAGACCCCCGCCACCCTCTGGACTGAAAATGTTTTCCCTCCAATCCCCTCTAAACCTCCTGCTTTCACTTTAAAATTTTACCGCCGAGTTAATGACTCTTCCCCTACAGGCAACAGCTGCTTTCTCTCCACCCAACCCCTCAAACATCTCTGTCAGGTCCCCTCTCAGTCTTCTCTAATCTACAGAAAACAACCCGACCTAATCCAGCCTCTCTTCATCACTGAAATGCCCCATTCCCAGGCAAACTCCTGGTGAATCTACTCTACATCCCTTCCATTTACAATCACATCCTTCCTATAGTGCAGTGACCAGAACTGCACACAGTACTTAGCTGTACTTACTTTGAGATAGTGTAAGGTAGCGCTGGAGGTTAGATAGACCTTAGGTTTAGGGTAAAATTTTGGCACAACATCATGGGCCGAAGGGCCTGTACTGAGCTGTACAGTTCTATGTTCTGTGGCCTACCTGAAATTCTGTACATCTCCAACACAACCTCCTTGCTCTTATAATCCGTGTCTTGGCTGAGAAAGACATGTGTCCCGTGTGCCTTCCTCATTATCCCTATTAACCTGCCCTGCCACCTTCACGGTTCCGTGGACAAGTACCCCAAGATCCCTCTGTTTCTCTAAGCTCCCTAGTGTCCTACCATTCACTGAGGACTCCCTTGTCTTGTTCCTTCTTCAAAAGTACATCACCTCACATTTATATTCGTAGAGTCATTGAGATGTACAGCACAGAAACAGAACCTTCAGTCCTCCTCATCTGTGCTGACCACATATCCTAAATTAATCTAGTCCCATTTGGCCCATATCCTTCTAAACCCTTCCTATTCATATACCCATCCAGATGCCTTTTAATTGTTGTAGTTGTACCAGCCTCCACTACTTCTTCTGGGAACTTGTACCTTACATGCACCACCCTCTCCGTGTAAAAGGTCCCTTTTAAATCTTTCCCCTCTTACCTTAAGCCTATGCCCTCTAGTTTTGGACTCACCCACCCCAGGGAAAAGACCTGTCTATTTACCCTATCCATGCCCCTCATGATTTTATAAACCTCTGTAAGGTCACCCGTCATCCTCTGATGCTCCAGGGAAAATAGCCCCAGTCTATACAGCCTCTCCCTACAGCTCAAACCCTCCAACCCTGGCAACATCCTTGTAAATCTGTTATGAACCCTTTCAATTTTCACAACATCCTTCCTATAGCAGGATTAAACTCCATCTGTCACTGATCTGCCCATCTGACCAATCCATTTATATACTCCTGTAACCTAACAGCTTCCTTCCCCCGGTCAATCATGTGTCATCCACAAACATATCAACCTCCCCCCCTCCCTGCCCATATTCTCATTTACGTTGTTGATGAATATCACAAATAGCAATGGACCCAGCATTGGTCCCTGTGGTATACCGCTGCACACAGGGCTCCAGTTACACAAACAGATCTCTACCACCACCCTCTGTATCCAATCACTAAGCCAATTTTGGATCCATCTTGCTAAGTTGCTGTAAGCTTTTACCTTCTTTATCAGTCCCCCATGTGGGACTTTGCTGAAATCTATATAAACTATATCAACTGCCCTACCCTCATCTACATCTTGGTCACCTCCTCGGAAAATTCCACCAAATTTGTTGGCATGACCTCCCTCTGACAAAGCCCCATGCTGACTCTCCCTGATCAAACCTTGCCTCTCTAAATGGAGATTAATTTTCTCCTTCACTATTTTCTCCAATAGTTTCCCTAACACTGATGTTAGTCTCACCGGTCTATAGTTCCCTGGTCTATCTGTATGACCCTTCTTGTAAAGAGGAACTATATTAGCCATTCTCCAGCCCTCCAGCACCTCTCCTGTAACCAGAGAGGAATTAAAAATTTGGTTCAGGACGCCTGTGATTTCCTCCCTTGTCTCCCACAGCAGCAATACAAGACAATCTTCCAAAAACTTCACTTTTAGCACCACAGTGTGCAATTTATAGAGAGTTTTCAACAAAAATTTGCAGACAGGTCACTGGACATGAAATGATACATCTGTTTCTCTCTCTACAGGTGCTGCCAGACCTGCTGTGTTTCTCCAGCTCTTTCTGTTTTGTTTGTTTCAGATCTGCAGTTCTTTGTTTAATTTCAACAAGGTCATGTTTACTATACAGACAGAGTTTTCAACAAAAGAGACTGGATGCATTCTCACATGGAATGTCTGCTAGTCTGGGATCCCTGTGGAAGCGGACATTGTATAAATGCTCCAGATTCCTGCACGGTGGAAATCAGGGAATGGGATCGTACCTCCCAATATTCTGGGCATTGAATCGAATGAGCTGCATTTTCCCAGCCAGTCCAGTTGTTCACAATCATTTCCACTCTGCATGGGCTGCTCTGTGTCTGTTTCCATGGGGATCCCAGATCAGCTTGCAAATCAGACTGTTTGCAAATCTGTCAGTCCTGCACTGCTCCCGGAGGAGGGGGCTCTGTGTTGTAAAATGTGACAGACAGCAGAGTTAGTCTTCCATTTGCAGACAGTAGGACTTTATGTTGAGGCCTGACTCCCAGCAGCTACTGGGATTGAAAAGACTGGACATCACTGTCCAGATAACTCTTCACAATTCTCTCCTTTTGTAAAGGGAGGGAACGACCTAGTGGTATGATCATTGGACAATTAACCTAGAAACTCAGCTAATGTTTGCAGACCTGGGTTCAAATCCTGCAAAGGCGGAATGTGAATCCAATAAAAACATGGAATTAAGAGTCTAATGATGACCATAAATCCATTGCTCAAGGGGAAAGGGAAAAACCATCTGGTTCACTAATGTCCTTCAGGGAAGGAAACTGCCATCCTTACCTAGTCTGGTCTACATATGAATCCACTCCCACTGCAATGTAGTTAACTCTTAACTGTGCTCTGGGAAATAAATGCTGGCGTAGCCATTGATGCCCTCATTCTGTGAATGAATAATAAAAGAAAATGAGGATCGTCTGATCCTGTTTTAATCCTGCATATCTCTATTAATAAATCCCAGCACTCTGTATGTTTATTAACCCGCCCTCTCAACCTGTCCCACCACCTTCAACGATTTCTGCTCATTTACCGCCCCCCCGGGACCTTTTTGCTCCTGTGTCCCCCTTTAGATTTTGAATTGATTGGGTTTTCTCTGACTCTGTGTCTCCCACCTCCCTCCCCACCCTCACTCTATCAGTCCTGCCCTGTCTCCCCCCCAACAGTATTAGTAACTCTAATCATTTTATGAATGAATTGTTTCATGCAATTTTTAAAAAAAATGTAGTTTAATATGGGCAGCATCTGTGTCAAAGAGTTGTCCACTTTTTCGTAAACTCGTTTCTAGGGAAACGCAAGGTCATTTTTCTTCAAAGGATTTTTTTTAAGATATAATTTTTGACTCACTTTCACCCAGTTTTCCTTTCAGTTCTCTTCTTTGTCTAACTGATATGGTGAATAATTTACATTATTCACCTTGGGTTTCATGATCAAATTCCAGGCTTAAAAATGTATCTGCTTGTTTTTTTGCAATGAATGTTCTTTCCAGTAATGCCATAGTCCTACCATTCTCTTTGGGGCTTTTTTCAAGTTCAGATCGTTCTAATAAAGGGCCACTGTCTTTGTGGAGTTAGCAAAATGAGAACCCAGGGTTACAAAGCAAGGTGCCCTGTGCAGCCAGAGCACCTGATTCAGTTAAAATGTTTCCTGAGGCTGAACAATAAAAGACCAAGCCCAGCATGGGGGAGAGATCGAACCCAACCGGGGCGGGTGTAGGGAGGATCGAGCCCAGAGTTGGGGGAGAGATCGAGGTCAGTGCAGAAGAGAGATCAAGCCCAGTGCAGAAGAGAGATTGGGCTCAGCGCAGGAGAGAAATCGAGCCCAGTGCAGGGGGAGAGAGATCATGTGCTTGCGGGGAAAGCCCAGCATGGAGCAACTGCAGGCCCATGGCTAAAGAAGGACTGTAATTTGGAAGTTTTAATTTTATTTCATATTTACTACTTTATACTGAGAAAAACTGTAATGTTGAACTTTTAACTTATTTCTGTATTTTTCTACTTTTTAACCGAAGATTTGTACCTCGGTACCTTGTACCTAAGATGGCGCTATAAATGACAACTTTGTAAACTTTTACTTGTACTCCTATATCTCTTTATTTGAGTACATGTGACGATAACACCTAATTCTAATTCAATTAATTAGGACTAGATATCTTCCCTTCTGGGAATCAAATAAAACTGTTAGAGATGTTGGCAGTCACCACAGCTACTGGAAATTCCTACCTTTCAGATGAGAAACATAGAAAATCGGTGCAGGAGTAGGCTATTTGACCCTTCGAGCCTTCCTCACCATTCAAGATGATCGTGGCTGATCATGCAATTTCAGTATCCCATTCCCGCTTTCTCTCTATACCCTTCAAGCCCTTTAGCCATAAGGGCCACGTTAAGCTTCCTCTTGAATATATCTAACGAACTGGCCCCAACAGAAGGGTTCTGAAGAAATGCATTACAGCAACCTGTGATCCCGAGCTGAGAACTCCAAAAATTGAATGAAACTTTGAACATTTTTCTTCAAATGTGGTGACCTATGAGCCCTCAATAGCTACAGCAACGCCAAAGGCAGTACTTGCTTGGATAATCCTGATCTGAGTTGATTGTGATGCTCAAACAAACATGCTCATTATTTGCCATTTTCTGCAATTCATGATTTTCATGATATGTCATTGCTGCTTGTAGCTCCCAAATTAGAATTCCTACAGTGTGAAAAGAAGCTCATCAGGTCCGCACCAACCTTCCAAAGAGCACCCCACGCAGGCCCGCACCCTATACCTGTAATGCCACATTGACCATAGCTAATCCACTCTCAGGAGACTATGGACATCTTTGGACTGTGGGAGGAAAGCAGAACACCTGGAGGAAACCCACATAGACACGGGGGGAATGTGCAAACTCTACACAGACGGTCGCCTGAGACTGGAATTGGAGCTGGGTCCCTGGTGCTATGAGGCAGCAGTGCT